TCTCTCTCTCTCTCTCTTTTTCTCTCTCTCTCAACTATCTCTCTAAGCATAGCCTCCTGACTCTGCCCTGTGTAAACTGTTATATGGTTACCTAACATTTGTAAGCAGCTTCAATTTAGATTTAATATTGTAATTGTTAGATTTAATATTGTAACTGTTTGATATCTATTCACTACTCAGAAATAAATCACTTTCATTGTTAAGCTGGTTGCTTCTCTCTCTTTCTTTCTCTTTTGCTCACTCTTCCTTAAGGGGTGTTGTTTTGGCTTCCCCATTCGCTCTGCAACAACGCTTCTTGTACCCAAGCAAAAGATCCCTGTAGTGCCCAAAATCCTGTGGGGTTTGCTCATCGTGTGGTTTACCAGTGAATGACTGTGGTGTGAAAGTGGGGATAGGGGGTGCTGAACCTGGGGGCTTATGAGGATGGCAGCTTAAAGTGCTGTTTAATCCAGCCCACGGAGTCCAAAGGCACATGAGGGTGCAGTGTGGCATTGCTGTGAAACCCAGCCAGCTGAGTCCAGGGACATAGGAGGGGGTCAGCTTGTGAGTGCTGAGTACCCAGTCCTCTCAGAGGTGCTCTGATTAGTGGGTGTGAGTGTCTGTGTGTGTTGCTAAGGTGGGAAGAACCCCATCCTGAGGAACCTAGTTCCTGCAGGAGAGCTCCAGTGGGAGGGGGAATTGGCAGCAGGGAGAATTCAGCTCCATATGAGAGCCCAAGTAAGCACCAACAGCACACTGATAGAACTGTTAACCTTCCCCCAGTCCCATAAGGGTAACCCTGATAAATGAGCATACCCCAGAGTATTGGGCAAATTTGGTAACACGGTCTCCTAGGAACTGGGGAGGGAGGGGCGCACCAAGTCTCTCACTCCCTGCCCCTGCCCTGCGGCATTTAGAGTCAACCACCCGCTGAGCAGCAGAGTGGGAGGAGACTTAACACGCTCCCCCACCCTCAAGCCCTGATTCACAGTCATGGTGCCCAGGCATGCGGAAAGAGCAGAATGAGTGGGATTCCACAGAAATCAGTTTTGGGACCAGTTCTGTTCAATATCTTCATCAACGATTTAGATGATCGGTACGCTTATAAAGTTTGTGGATGATACCAAGCTGGGAGGGGTTGCAAATGCTTTGGAGGGTAGGGTCAGAATTCAAAGACTGGAGAATTGGTCTGAGGAAAAAAGGAGAAATGCAAAGTCCTCCACTTAGGAAGGAAAGATCCATTTCACACACAGGGTGTGTCTAGACTGCAGGCTTTTTTCGAAAAAACTTTACCTGAGTCTAGACTGCTGCCACGTTCTTTCAAAAGTAAATCGAAAGAATGCGGCAGTTTTTTTTACCACGGTAAACCTCGTTTTACAAGGAATAAAGGCTCTATGTAATGCAAACAGTACTTTTTCAAAAGTACTGGTTGTAGTCTAGATGCTCTTTTTCGAAAGAGGCTTGCAGTCTAGATATAGCCACACAGAGTGGGAAGCGACCACCTAGGAAGGAGCCCTGCAGAAAGGAATCTAGGGGTCAGAGTGGAACACAAGCTAAATGTGAGTCAAACATGAGACACTGTTGCAAAAAAAGGAAACATTATACTGGAATGTATTAACAGGAGTGTTGTAAGCAAGACACAAGAAGTCATTCTTCCGCTTTACTCTGCGCTGATTAAGCCTCATTTGAACTACTGTGTCTAGTTCTGGGAGCCAGATTTCAAGAAAGATTTGGAGAAGGTCCAGAGAAGAGCAACAGAAATGGTGAAAGGTCTAGAGAACATGAGCTCTGAGGGAAGATGGGAAGAACTGGGTTTCTTTAATCTGGAAAAGAGAAGACCGAGGGAAATGACAAGAGCTTTTAGCAGTGCTTTTTTTGTGTAAATACTCAAAAGTTGTTGAGCAAAAAAAAAAAAAGTATTTTTTTGGTATTAAAAATTAATGAGAATAAATCCCTTTGTCCATATATTCCTGAGGAACCTCCTCCACTGACTCTAGCTCCAAGAGCAACCATACCTCCTGGGAAAGGAGAAGGGTTCCTGAAGAGGAACAGAGAATGGGAGTGGGAGGATGAGAGGGCACAAAATTGGATGCCCTACCCCTTACTGGGTGCAATCTTTCTTCCTTTGTTCAGGATCCTGAAATCTACCATCT